CCTCGCGGCGTGAGCGACACCGGGGCAAGCGCCGCGAGGGGGGCAAGAAAAAGAAGAAGCGATCGCGCTCACGGGCCGAGAAGCGCGCTGGGGATGTGGAGAAGTTGCCTGCGCCTGTGCCACCCTCAGGGTCTGACCGTGACAGCCGGCGCCGCGGGGCCGTGCCGCCCTCTATCCAGGACCTCACAGACCATGACCTGTTTGCTATCAAGCGGACCATCACAGTGGGCCGCCCAGACAAGGCAGAGCCGCGAGCACCTTCACCAGCACCCGCCATGTCCCCAAAGCGGGAGGTTCTGTATGACTCTGAGGGTCTGAGTGCAGATGAGCGTGGTGGCAAGAGCGACAAGGACCGGAGGCGGTCAGGGGCTGCGTCCTCATCCTCGTCTTCAAGGGAGAAAGGGTCTCGACGGAAGGCCCTTGATGGGGGCGACCGGGGCCGAGACAGGGACAGGTCATCCAAGAAAACGCGGCCACCTAAGGACTCAGCACCTGGCTCAGGGCCACTGCCCAAGCCCCCGCTAAGCAGCGGCTCCTCATCTTCATCGTCATCCTGCTCCTCCCGAAAGGTGAAACTGCAGTCCAAGGTGGCTGTGCTCATCCGAGAGGGTGTCAGTAGTACCACCCCTGCCAAGGATTCCTCGTCTTCAGGCCTGGGCTCCATCGGGGTCAAGTTCAGCCGAGACCGTGAGAGCCGCTCGCCATTCCTCAAGCCAGATGAGCGGGCTCCTTCAGAGGTGGCCAAGGTGGCCCCGGGCAGCGCCAAGCCCAAAAAGACCAAGGCCAAGGCCAAGGCCGGAGCCAAGAAAGCCAAGGGGACCAAAGGAAAGACCAAGCCGTCGAAGACCCGGAAGAAGATCCGCAGTGGAGGCAGTAGCACAGCTGGTGGGCCAGGTTCACTGAAGAAGTCCAAGGCCGACAGCTGCAGCCAGGCAGCCAGCGCCAAGGGGACCGAGGAAACATGGTCTGGGGAGGAGCGGACCACCAAGGCCCCCAGTACTCCACCACCTAAGGTAGCTCCGCCTCCACCCGCACTCACCCCGGACTCCCAGACAGTGGACAGCAGCTGCAAGACTCCTGAAGTCTCCTTCCTGCCAGAGGAAGCCACTGAGGACCCTGGGGTCCGAGTAGGGGCAGAGGAGGAGGAGGAGGAGGAGGAGGAAGAGGAGGAGGAGCAACAGCCTGCTACTACCACAGCCACCAGCACCGCCGCAGCCGCCCCAAGCACTGCCCCCAGTGCGGGCTCTACAGCTGGAGACTCTGGCGCCGAGGATGGGCCAGCTTCTAGGGTCTCCCAGCTGCCCACGCTACCCCCACCCATGCCCTGGAACCTGCCTGCTGGTGTGGACTGCACTACCAGTGGTGTCCTGGCCTGTGAGTTTCTCAAGTGGGGATCGGGAGGGTAACGGCAAGAAAGGGATGGGTAGATAGGGTTGGGTGGATGGAGCAGGGCATATAGGGAGCAGGTGGAACAGAGGAGTGTGTGGTGGCTGGCACAGAATGGAGAGCGTGAGCAGGGTACTGATTTCCTCCTAGGTGGGGAAAAAGCTGGGATTTGGGTGGGTCAGGAAGCAGATGTTACTCCACTTATATTCTTTTTTTTTTTTTTTTTAAGATTTTATTATGTGTACAACATTCTGCTTCCATGTATATCTGCACACCAGAAGAGGGCAGACAGAACTCAGAACCTGTAGAAGAGCAGTCAGTGCTCTTAACCTCTGAGCCATTTCTCCAGCCCCTCCACTTCATATTCTAGTCCTTGTCCCTGCATACACACCCCTGAGTCATTAGAACATTGGTGGTCTGTGGTGATTCTCAGTAGAGAAGGTCCTTTTTTCTGTTGAGCTGAGGTTTTACAGTCCTGGGATCAAGTGAGGGACCCGGCAGCAGCAGGGTTAGGTGAGGTTTGCTACCCATCCTGATACCTGCACTGATTGTCACACCTCTGTCTCCTGCAGTGACTGCACTGCTGTTCAAGATGGAAGAGGCCAACCTGGCCAGCCGAGCAAAGGCCCAGGAGCTGATCCAGGCCACCAACCAGGTGGGCTCCCATGGGGAAGAGTCCCCACAGCCCCTTCTTTTGTCCATTGCCTCGGGGTAGGAGAGGAACTACAACTCCCAGCAGGCCTTAGGGCAAGGTATTGGCCAGAAGAGGAGCCTATTGCTCTCTAACATTGGGAAATTTGAGGGAACAGAGGGGTACAAAGTCCCCTCTTCCCTTCTGCCTTCCTTGTCTTATCACACTCTCTCCTCACAGATCCTCAGCCATCGGAAGCCACCCTCCACTCTGGGGGTGAACCCAGCTCCTGTGCCCACTTCTTTGGGCCTGCCCCCAGGCCCTTCCAGCTACCTGCTTCCTGGCAGCCTCCCCATAGGAGGCTGTGGCTCCCCCCCTCCTACTCCCACTGGGCTGGCCCCTGCATCTGACAAGAGAGAGGGCAGCAGCAGTTCAGAGGGACGTGGGGACACTGACAAGGTGAGATGGACTTGGAGTGCAAAGAACTAGATGAGTGGGGCAGGGGGCTGGCAGGCACCACAGAAACCACAGAGTAGAGACGCAGCTCAGTATTGAGTGCTTGCCCGGTACCCGGTATTCAGGAGGCACTGGGTTCCATCCTCAGTTCCAGATAAAAAGAACTAACATGTATAAAGAATAAAAGCATTTATAGTTTGTAACCGTACATATGTGTTTATAAACAACACCTTTAATGTACCTCTCAGTTGCTCCCCGATGGTAGGTAACTGGGAGATGTCGCTTTTTAGAAGAAAAATCAAGCACTTAGGGTTGAGCTAGTTGAGCTGGTCATACAGTCCTAGCATTTGTGAAGACTAAAAGGCAAGGGAGATGGTGATGAGCCATCCCTGGCTGGAGTGAGGACTCTGCAGGCACAAAGGAAGAATGGTTTTAGGCTGCTACCACCCGGCCTTGGACTGCTTCCTTTAAGTCCTATCTTGATGGGTTGACCTGGTCATGCCCTGACACCAAGGTCTGAAGGCACTGCCCACTGCTGTGCCTCCCACTGGCTGTGGAGCAGACTTGTATTGGAAACAGATGGCCTCAGCTCACCTGGCCCCTGGTTTGTGAACATTCCCAGTCAGGCCTCTGGGACTGTTCGTGCTGTTTGTCTTCTCTTGGCGGCAAAGCAGCCCTTCTTTGGTGTTACTTGAGAATCTCATGGCCCACAGAGCTGAAACTGGATCTCCCTGTAGCTGGAATATATGTGTCCCTATTACTAAAGCAGGTGTCCATTTGCCTACACTTATCTTGCTGTGGGCCCAGCCTCTGTCCCACTTGTTTCTTGCCTCTATGCCCTTGTTTTGGGAAAGCAGCTCTACCTGTGGTCATGGACACTGCTTTCCCAGGAAGCTCAGCAGCTCCCCTTTACGGTGGTGTCCCATTTTCCATGAGTCACAGGATCTAGTACCCTGGCGGTAGAAGACTGGGCCCCCGTGATTCGTCCACCTTATCAGACTGAGCCACCTGGGCGTGGCCACTCAGCCCCTCCTGTGCTTCTCCAGAGCTCAGGCAACCTGGACCAGAGCAGAGTGTGAGCAGTCAAGCTTGGTATCCCTGCCTCTTCAAAAGGTCTACAGTCAGAATAAGCCTGTAAGGTCTGCTTAGGGAGAGTTGTGACCAGCTGTGTGTGGGGCAAACTGCTTGAGACTAAGACAGGAGATTTAAAAGTTGAAGGCAAGAATGGGCAACTTAAGAGACACTACCTAGAAAGCAAGCTGGGGCCGGGTGGCAGAGCACCAGCACTCCCAAGCCCGCTCCAGTGCCAGCGCTGCCTAAAAGAAACAGTATTGTTTGACTGGTTTTGTCTCCCAGCAGACTGCTGGGCCTGGCTCGGCCAGGGTGGCGCAGACACTGGCCTGGGGTAACTGCAGAAAGGGAGGCAGAGACCTCTCCTGCATGGTCTTCACGCCCTTGCCCCCCCCCCCCCAGTATCTGAAGAAGCTGCACACGCAGGAGCGGGCGGTGGAGGAGGTGAAGCTGGCCATCAAGCCCTACTACCAGAAGAAAGACATCACCAAGGAGGAGTACAAGGACATCCTGAGGAAGGCTGTCCACAAGGTGGGCATGGATGGGGACCTGGGTCCAGGAGAGGGGTCCAGGGTAGGCCTGGTCACTGAGTCAGGGTGGAGGGTGCCCTGGGCTGGCAGGAACTCAGCTGTCCCTGGCTCCGCAGATCTGCCACAGCAAAAGCGGGGAGATCAACCCTGTCAAGGTGGGCAACCTGGTGAGGGCCTACGTCCAGCGCTACCGCTACTTCCGCAAGCACGGGCGCAAGCCGGGGGACCCCCCAGGACCCCCTCGACCACCCAAGGAGCCAGGGCCCCCAGACAAGGGTGGCCCAGGCCTGCCCCTGCCCCCTCTCTGAGACTTCATACCCTGTTCCTGCGCCTCTGAGACTCTGGACATATTTATGGCTCCACTTCCCCACTAAACCCCCCTCCCCTAGTGGGATGATGGGGTCGTTGTGAGGAAGAGGAGAGCCCCCACCCAGCCCTGCCCCTACCCGTTATCCTGGCCCCTTAGCCTATCCCAAGGCCTCAGCCCTTCTGTCATGCCCCCTCCAATTTCATTAAAGATTTCATGAAATATAGATGGGTGTAGTGGTGCACACTTAAGCAGCCCAATTTCTTGAGTTCAAGGACAGCCAGGGCTACCGAGATTCTATCTTCATAAGATGCTCTTTTCTTTTCAGGAGGAAATAGTTGTGGGGGGCAACACGAAGGGGCCACACCAGACCAAGGAATGTGGTAACAGGAGGCAGGGCCCAGCCTTGAGCAGCATGTACACTGGAGCTGATCCCATTGAGTGGCCTCCAGTGTCAGCAGCTCTGTGAGGCTGCAGTGACTCAACCCATGATCCTAAAAGGAAACTGAGGCCAACAAGGGCTCCATGTGAATCAGTCTTCCCCACAGTGGCTTTTAGTTGCCATCCATTTACTCCTCAGGTAGCTCACAGCTTGTGACAGCTTCCCCTGGCTCCATGAAGGGAGGATGTGCAGTTCTGGGCCTGTCCTGCCCTGTCCTCTCTTGCTTCCTTTGTGATGCTTTCTCCAGGACCTTGGAGAGAGGTCAAGAGCTGGTACCCATGTTGTACTGGCTCCTTGTACCTCACTCAACAGCACTTAAACATGGGGAAAGAGATCCCTATACAATAATCACTAGCTTGGGGGCAGTATAACAGACAGACATGTGATGGTGGCATAAACTGCTTTATTGGTGGCAGCTAAGCAGGGCTTAGGTGTCTCCAGTGGCCTGGAAGTCCATGTCCTCCACCAAGTCCTGGAGGTAGGCCTTGTATTGGTCAGAAGTGAGGGAGACAGGCTGGCTGTTGGAGATGTGCAAGTCCACGGTTCTCAGTGAGGAGGCTCCCCCTTCCCGGGCCATCTCTAACAGCTCCTTAAGACATGTGGGGACAACCTACAGGGGCAGGGAGGGGTCAGGGCAAATCTCCAATCAGCTGTGAGCCCTCAGCATAGCACAGGGTGGACCTTCACTCAGCCTAGGGCTACTAGGAACTATAGTTTCCCCTTCCCCTAATCATGACCAATGGGGCTCCTGGAAGCTGTACACTTTAAAGATTTGGCAGCTACCAGCTACAGGATCTAGTGTCAGAACTGTGGCTTAAGAGTCCTGTTGGAGTTGCTGTTTCTTAGTGGGGGGTAGGGAGCTTCTAGGAGTTTTAGTCCCTGGCTGTTACAGGTTCCTCTACAAATGGACCCTCCCAGCCCTAGAAGCACAAGACAGCTGGCACCTTGACCATCACAAGCCTCTTGACCCACGGCTGGTCCTGGGGCCACGTCTCCCCTACACAGAACCACAGAGTGTAGCGTGGGGAGTGTCCACTTCCTTCCATGAAGGCAATCAGATCTGGGAACCCAGGAGTCAGGTCAGAAAAGAAGGGATGACCCTCTACCCTTCCCATACACTCAACTTACTATCTTCCCTAGTAATGCTCCCCACCACCGCAGGCACTGCCTGGAAAAGTCCCTGCTACACAACTCAAGTGTCCTCATCCATATCCCTCCCTCCTTCAGCAGCACTGTGTAAGTGAGATGTCAACCCACTCTACCCAGAGGCTCAGCAGTGAGGAGGAGGGTGGTCCTAGGAGCTCAGGGAAGTGGAGGCTGTTGGGATGGCTCTTCAATTCCTCAGGCCTCACTGTGGTTCTCTAAATGGACAGTCATGCCAGACTTTGAGCATGTGGCAGGAGGGATGTGTTCAAGGCCAGCAGAAGCAACAACAATGAGGCCCTGTCTCAGAAAACTGAAGTATTTAATATAAGTGCCACATCAAGCTGGGTACCTGTTCAACTGGCATCCTAGCACTAAGGCCTTGGCTACAGAGTGAGACTCTTTCTCAAAATAGCTTTAAAATTCTCCATCAGCAGTTGGCTCTTATGGGTTCTCAACAGACCTATGTGTTTGTCCCCTGGCAGATGCTGGGCTCATCAGCAGAACTCTAGGGACTTACTTTTCCTATAATTTGCCAGTGGCACTACCACAGAGCCAAGTCTTCAGACAGACCACCATATCTGTATTTACTGTAATATGGTTGCCAGAGCATCTTATGTTGCTTACTACATTAGGTTCAACAGTTATAACAGCCTGTCCCCCTGGTGGTACACACACGCCTGTCCTTTGTCACAGAGCAGAGTAGCAAGGCTTTGAGTTCAATCAACCACCATGGTCTGTCAATTCCTATAGAGTACTCACCTGCTACAAAGGGCCCAAGGTCGAACACGCCTCCATCCTTGTCCTTGGGGACCTCTCCGTCAGGCCCTCGCCCACTGTCTGGAAGCAGCTCCTCACCCAGAGCCCAGAAGGAATGGGAGTGGCCCAGACGCTGGGCCCAGAGACACTGCCCTGACCTCCACAGTGCCAGCCCCTTGCCCAGCCCCTTGAGGACATGGATCCCTTACTCCCTCGCAAGCCTGTCTGTCAGAAACTCCTCAGGGTCTGGCAGGGTGACTGGCTGCCCAGGCAGTGTCCTGTTATCGGCTGTGGTCCCCACCAGCCGCAGGCCTCCTGGGCAAAAGAGTGTCTGCTGGAAGACCTGGCGGCCTCGATAGAAAGCGGTCACTTCGAACTCCCATTCTGAGAGGGGCATGAAAGGGGAGAGATTAAGAGGACCAGGGTGAGGACTGCTTTCCCTGCTGCAGCCCCGCCTACCCCACAGCCAAAACTCACGTTCCTCAGCTAGCAGCTGCCTCAGTGGGTTTTCCTGGGGTGCCATGTTTAGGATGTTGTCCAAATTGGGGCTTGGCAGTAGTTGAGAGTGATCAGGAGCAATAGCCTCTCCTGAGGACCCCCCATCCTGGAGGAGGGGTTCCAAGATCATGCCATCCAGTAATTCCAAGAGGTCTTCCTGAAGGAAGCAATAGCTGCTGGAGTCTAGTCAACAGCTTCAGCCGGCTCAAGAGGGCAGCAGACTGGTGAAGGAGTGGAGGGTGAAAGCTGGGGCTGGGGAGGACAGACAGGGCAAGGATGAGGTACAGGACTGGTTCCTCCTCACCTGGGGATCAGACAGACTGCTTTTGCCATTGGTATCAGGAGAGGTGTCCAGATGTACAAAGTCTCTTGCTGCTGTTCAGAGAAAGGGTAAGTAAAATGAAGGGCAGAGGGCCTCCTGATCCCAAGGTTTTTATGATCCCAAGCCAGCCTTGTTACACACACCTGGAGTCACAAACTCATACACTTTATGAGGATCAAAAGGGTCCTTGCTCTTGTCATCAGCTAATCGCAACACTTCTTTCCGGTTCAGGGCTGACCGGAAGTTCCTCTTCCAGGTTGACAGGTCTGGCTTATCCTTTCCTGGGGTGTAGGCACCACTGGCTTCGGCCCAGGCCTGACAAACCAGTGATTCCAGAATAGGAGGGGAAACGACTTAGACTCTGCCTTTAGGTCCTGACACCTCCCACCATGTTCCATCTTGTGGTTTGAGACTGGGCCCCTACACCTTCCATCCTCATCTTTATCTACTATTTCCTGCACCAAAAGAAATCCTTTTTAACCTGGCAGTGGTGGCGCATGCCTTTAATCCTCAGCATTTGGGAGGCAGAGGCAGGCAGATCTCTGTGAGTTGGAGACCAGCCTGGTCTACAAGAGCTAATTCCAGGACAGCCTCCAAAGCCACAGAGAAACCCTGTCTTGAAAAACAAAATCCTTTTTGGTTTTGAAACAGGGTTTCTTACACAGCTGAACTCCTGCTGATGCCTCCAGAGTGCTAGGATTACAAACTGTGCCACCTTCTCAGCCTTCAAGCCTTTTTTTTTTTTTTTGTTGGGGGGCGGTTTGAGACAGGGTTTTTCTGTATTGCTTTGGAGGCTGTCTTGGAACTAGCTCTTGTAGACCAGGCTGGCTTCAAACTCACAGAGATCTGCCTGCCTGCCTCCCGAGTGCTGGGATTAAAGGTGTGTATCACCAACGCCCGGCTCCAGTCTCTCATTCTATTACTACCTCTAGTCCATGCTATGTCAATGACTCCATCCATAAGGCATTCTCAGACCTTAAGATTTAAGGGTTCTAAAATCAAGAGCCCACCCCCAAAGATCTCCCATCCTCTGCAGCTGTAATTATCAACCTTCTTAATACTGCAGCCTTTTAATACAGTTCCTGCTGTAGTGACCCCAACCATAAAATGATTGTCGTTACTACTTAATAACTGTAGTTTGCTACTGTTATGAATCGTAATATAAATATCTGATCTGGCCGGGTGTTGGTGGTGCACGCCTTTAATCCCAACACTCGGGAGGCAGAGGCAGGCGGATCTCTGTGAGTTCGAGACCAGCCTGGTCTACAAGAGCTAGTTCCAGGACAGCCTCCAAAGCCACAGAGAAACCCTGTCTCGAAAACCCAAAAAAAAAAAAAAAAAAAATCTGATCTGAGACCCTCAAGTTGAGAAACACTGCTATAGCCGGTCCTTAAGCAATCCAAACTTAATTTCCGGGTTATAGTCTTGTAATCTGCTGATCCGTTCCTGTCTATCCCTCCCAGTCCTACCCACCTTCATTAGCAAGACCCCGCCCCTGCCTAGCCACGCCCAGGAACGCCTCTCCAAAGTCTTCCAAAGTCTTTCAAAGTCTTTGGCCCCCAGCACCTGGAAGATGCCAAAGTCAGCCATCTGGGCGTCCTGCCGCAGGCCATGCTTCCAGGGGATCCGGAACCGAGTGCGGCTCTCATCCAGCCAGGCCACGCCTTTCAGCTGCCCCAGGTCCAGCTGCGACACCAGCCAGGGCAAGATCCGCGGTTTCGGGGTTCCCATGCTCGGGCCTGCGCACACAGGGCAGTTCCTAAAGCCTGCGTGTCAAGGGGCAAACGCACTGAAACCTCCTTGACCCGTCACGGCGCAAATCTTTCACTCATGCTTTCGTGGGGGCACAAACGGAAAAGCCCTTCCGCCCTTTCATAGCCAGTGGGGCCGTCTTCGGTAGAAACTCTGTACCTACCCATCAGTTCCTTCTCTGTTAGCCAAAGCAGGTACCCCGCTTCTAGGGTGGAGCCCTCTTTCCCTAGTCTTTCCAAGACTGACTGCTCCCTCACCCACAGTTCCCTTGCACCGAAAACCCTGGCTTATTTCCAGAGTATTCTCTCAAGTGCAGTCGCCTGTTTCCAGGCTTCTTCTATTTTGATTTTTCTATATTCTTTTTATGGATGCTTTGAGACAGGGTCTTAGTACGTAGCATAGGCTGGTCTTCAACTGCAACCCAAACTGGCCTGGGACTCTCTGTGTGGCCCAAGCTGGCCTCGGATTCCACTGTAAACAAAGGTAGCCTCAAACTTATCCAGGAGCCCAGGCTAGTCTGCAGCTCATCCTGAGGTCCAGACTGGCCTTGAATTTCCAGCAGTATCGCTACCTTCAGCCCGAGTGCTGAGAGACTGCAGGCCTGCGTCTTCATCGCGCGGCCCTTTGGTTCTCGGTAGCCGAGCTCCTGAGGCCGCCACCCTCCCGATTCTTCCGCGTTACCTACCGGGGAGGAATCGCGCGCTCGTGGGGCGCCGGGGCCAACACTGGCTTCAGGGCTCCCAGTGGTTCTGAGTCTCGCAGCCACGCACCCTTCCCCTCCTGTCAGCTAAGCCTCCGAGCGCTGGGACTGTCTTTTCTAACGATATTTTGGGATGAAAACAATTTTCTCATAATTTGGGTAAGAAACGCAAAAGCCGAGAGAGCACCTCTGGGCGCCACCCAACTCTCTCAATGCCCTTTTTTGGACTTCCGCCCATAGGCATGCTGGGAACGCCATATGCAAATGAGACTGCAACACAACGCCACGCCCCTTCAACGTTGGGGCGGTTAGCAGGTCGGCCCAGTGCGCAGGCGCGGGAAAGTTGAATTTACCAAGAAAAGTTTGATGAAATTGAGTGAAACCGTGGGAGCCGGCGCCGGCGCGACTAGAGCAGAGCCCCAAACCAGGTGAGCGGGGTGCCAGGGAGGGACTAGAACAGAAAGGGAAGGGAACCAGTTGCACGAGCGGCCACAGTCAGTCCTGCCTCTCTGAGTCCGAGCACCCAGAGGCTCTGGTGCTAGCCGAAGGTAGTTGGAACTACATCTCCCAGCAGGCTGCTCGGCGAAAAAGCGGGGAAATCGGGCCAATGTGTACCGCCGAGCGTACTGGGATTGGTAGTTCTCTATCCCCTAAGGACTTAGATACCTGGATGAGTGCATCTTTCAGCATTCAGGGCTGAGAGTTCCAAACCCCATTCCCTCTCCTGGATGTAGGAGTTTAAGCACTCAGCTACCTCCTGTCTTAAACCCTTCTTTCTCCAGCCCCCTTTTCCTCCACGGAATCAACTCTGTCTCACTGACCAGCCTTCTGTCTCCCGAGTTCTGGCACCCTGTTCATTCAGGGACTCAGAAGTTTGAGCTTGTCACCACACTTGGGTTCATGCTCTGTTTTCTCCCTCAGGTGCCTCCATGGCCGGCTCTGAAGATCTGGGGCTCCGAGAGGACACACTTAGGGTTTTGGCTGCCTTCCTTAGGCGCGGTGAAGCTGCTGGGTCCCCTGTTCCAACTCCACCCAGGTGAGTGAGTGTCCATTCCCCCAGGGCCAGCTTTTGACTGGAAGGTCTTCCTGAGTCTTGGTACTGGTCCCAGCCTGTCTCCTTTCAGATCTGACCCCATATGCCTATCTCGAGTTTGAAGAGTGATCTTCCATGGGGTCACTCCGAGGTTCTTGTCCCCAGGAACCCTGCCCAAGAGGAGCCAACAGATTTCCTGAGCCGCCTCCGAAGATGTCTTCCTTGTCCCCTTGGGAGAGGAGCCCCTCCCCTGGAGTCCTCTCGGCCCTGCTTCCTTCCCCTACGCCCCTGCTATGGCTCCCAGCCTGGTAAGAGATTATCCAGATCACCTGTGAAGCTTTAATGGGTAGGAGCTTTGGTTAGGAAAATCCAGACAGTACCTGTTGCAAGGTGAACACTGCTCAGTTTTTTTTTTTTTTTTTTTTTTTTTGGCTTTTTTTTTTTTTTTTTTAAATTAATATTTTCACATGTACTTTCCCTCTCCCTCTCCCTCCCCCCACCCCCAGAACACTGCTCAGTTTTAGCACAAGCCATAACTATTCCCCTCCTCTGTTAGACTTCTTTCTAGGCATAGTCACACTTGCTGGAGCCCTCCTGCATCAGCCTACCTTATACTGGAATCACAGGCATGCATCATTAGAGCCTCAGCTTAGATTTCATTTTTGTTTTTGTTTCTTTGTTCTTGAGACAAAGAAACCCAGGGTTTCTCTGGGTATGTTTGGCTGTCCTGGAACTCATTCAGTAGACCAGGCTGGCTGAAAACTCACAGGGATCACGTGACTTTGCCTCCGAATGCTGGGATTAAAGAGCCACCACTGCCCAGATTTCTGCTTAGAATTCTACCTGTCAGTTCTGTGGTTGGCCAGTGGGGTGAGGGGTGGGGGTTGGAGGGTTGAGGGTTGTGCTCTGGTACCCGTCTTAGCTAATTACATCTTTCCTTACATAGTGCTTCCCTGGCTCTTAGGGAAGACTTCTGTGTAGCCCCAGTACCCTAGCACATAAGACAGGAGCCATGGTTGTTAACCACAGCTCATTGGCTAGTTGGTAATCTGACTGAGCAAATTATTTCTCCTCCTTGCTCCTTGTTTTAAAGTAGCAGAGAAAGACTGTAAGAAGGGGTATTAATATTTGATTAATGATGATCAATAGCCCTGGGTGTGGGGTGCATTGCTATCATCAGCACTGGGAGACTGAGGCAGGAGGATTGCTGTGGGCTTAAGGCTAGCCTGGATTACAGAAAGCTAATGAGTCAGTAGAGTGCCTGCTTAGCAAGCAAAAAGCCCTGTATTCAGTTCCCAATAGCACATGAGGCAGGTAGGTAGAGGAAAGAGTCCCCAGTCCCCTCAGTGGCCTTCAAGGGCATCAGGCATGCACTTGGCACACAAACATACATGCAGGCAAAACACCCATACTCATTAAATAGGATAATTTTTTGTTGTGTTTTTTGAGACAGGGTTTCTCTGTGAAACAGCTCTGGCTGTCCCCTGTAAGAGACTTTCTTCTTGGGCCACCAACCAGCTCCCAAATTATGACATGAAGACTTATTAATTATGAGTTGTCTCGGATTATGCAGCACACGTGTGGGTTCACTCTGGTCTATCAAAAGAAAACTCAAAGATACTTAAGAGTCAATTTAGCTGGTGGGCGTTGGTGGTGCATGCCTTTAATCCCAGCACTTGGGAGGCAGAGGCAGGTGGATCTCTGAGAGTTTGAAGCCAGCCTGGTCTACAAGAGCTAGTTTCAGGATAGACTCCAAAGCCACAGAGAAACCCTGAATGTTCTGCCTTATCTTATGCTTGTACATTAGTTCTTTTTTTTTTTTTTTTTTTTTTTTTTTTTTTTTTTATTGGGGTTT